CCAACTTTCTTCAACTATACATGTATGATTTTATTATTATAACCCACCCACCCCTCCATCAGCACAACCAGGAAATGTTAAAAATAAGATAGCTGCCTCAACAAATGCAATGGGAACAGTCTATTGCATGTCCTCTGAAGAACGCTATCTTCTACAGCAGTGGTTTTCAACCTGTGGGTCGGGACCCCATTTGGGGTCGAACGACCATTTCACGGGGGTCGCCAAACAACGCAGTCCACCATTTTTTTCCCCTTTTCCTTAGCTGTGCTACTCCCTTTTATTCTATTGGCTTTTGAAAGCCAATAGAATAGACTCTATTGAATAGAGTCTAATTCTATTGGCTTTCAAAAGCCAATAGGAATTGTCCAGGCTGTCTCTGCCCTGCTGAGCCTGCCAAAAGTCCCATTCTTCAAACGGTGCTACACCAGTTGAGTAGTCCTCGACTTACGACCGGTTGAGTAGTCCTCGACTTACGACCGGTTGGGGGTTGCGGCATTAAAAAGGTTGAGAACCACTGTTCTACAGGATGATATATCTGAAGATTCAGAAGACTATAGTAAGGTTCACCTTATGGTGGAAAGAATTGGGTCTTGCCTGCAATAGATCAAAATTAAGTGCTTCAGATCTGAACTCCAAAATAAATCTCTTCTTTGCCTTTATACATTAAGAAGATAACAGAATAACAGAAATGGAAGTATTGCTGACACACTTTAAATTATTTCAGATCTCAGCACAGTTTCTAAAGCGCCGAGTTCCCCCAATGTCTGCAACTTAATATTTCCTTTTTGCTCCCAAAACCAGGGCCATGAATAGTGTTGGGCCTCCCATCCTAAAATGAATTAAGCTACATTCAAGGGAACAGGCCTGTACACACAAGCCTCTCTCAAAGAGTAATGACAATAGGGAAGCTTAGAACATTATCTGAAGATGGCATCTATACAAGGACATATTCCTGGTCTGAAATCTACATGAATCTTTCATGTAGCAGAACTCTCCATGACCAGTAGATGGCAGCAAAGACTGAGATGTCTAACAATACCTCACTGCTGCCATCTAGTGGTCAGCTCAGCCCACACACCCAGTGAAGCTGGCTCTTTTTTGCTACGCTTCCATACAAGTCTTTCATCTCCACTTAGACCAGCGGTTCTCAACCTGTGGGTCGGGACCCCATTTGGGGTCGAACGATCATTTCACGGGGGTCGCCAAACAATGCAGTCCGCCATTTTTTTCCCCCTTTTCCTTAGCTGTGCTACTCCCTTTTATTCTATTGGGTTTTGAAAGCCAATAGAATAGACTCTCTTGAATAGAGTCTAATTCGATTGGCTTTCAAAAGCCAATAGGAATTGTCCAGGCTGTCTCTGCCCTGCTGAGCCAGCCAAAAGTGCCATTCTGCAAACGGTGCTACATCAGTTGAGTAGTCCTTGACTTACAACCGGTCGAGTAGTCCTCGACTTACGACCATTTGGGGGTCACAGCATTAAAAAGGTTAAACCACTGACTTAGACACACAATCCTAGACAAATCCCTACATTCTTTCTGGGCATGCGTTAGCCTCACAATAGACATCAACCAGGTTTGATTTTTAAAGAAGAGAATGTCCCAACAGGCTCTGCTATCCTTCACTATACTGATACCATAGCCCAGGCCCGCGAAATCACCCATTTGAGCAAAGCAATTTCTGCAAAATCCAGGAATACGCTGGGTTTGCAATTGACATTCAGCCCTGTCCTCCAACTCAAAGAGCAAGTTGAAGTGGACCTTACATTTGATCCGCTTTAAATAATAGCACCAGAAGATTAGCTTTCAGATTCTTCCCCCCCCCTTTAAAGACACTGAACTATTTCTTGTAACCATCAAGCCATCTGTACGATGATTCATTCCAAGCATATTTTAACCAGAGTGCAGAAACAAAAAGTACTTAGTGCTAATTTCTTTTTTTCTTTTTTTTTAATTGGAGATCTTGTCTCCCCTAAAAGTGCTCTGCTTAGCAAGATTTAGGTTCTATGGCTCCCAGACAGACAAAATAAGACAGTGTCTCGAAAATTTTTCCAAGGGTGCTTCAACAGACGGATGCCAAGCTGTCCACCCTCTCAAACATTCCCTCTGTTTTTAAACCTCTCTGGATTATTTTACTCCAAGAAGAGGGAAAGAGGGATGCTAAGTACTAAATTGCTCAGGGCTGCTTTTAAAATGCAATTTTTCACTGCAGCAAGATAAGAATCAGATTCTTTGCTCCCACGGAAACTCCACATTTTCCTTCCTATTAATACCCTGGCTTTAGGAAATTCCCACTGGAAAAAGAAATGCTACATTTCTGGGTAAAAATAACAGAATAAAGGAGTTGGAAGGGGCCTTGGAGGTCATCTAGTCCAACCCCCCGCTCAGGCAGGAAACCCTACACCATTTCACACAAATGGCTGTCCAATCTCTTCTTAAAAACTTCCAGTGATGGAGCATTCACAATTTCTGGAGGCAAGTCGTTCCACTGATTAATTGTTCTAACTATCAGGAAATTTCTCTTTAGTTCTAGGTTGCTTCTCTCTTTGTTCAGTTTCCATCCGTTGCTTCTTGTCCTGCCTTCTGGTGCTTTGGAGAATAGGTTGACCCCCACTTCTTTGTGGCAGTCCCGCAAATATTGGAACACTGCATTCATGTAATCCCGAGTGAGTCCTTCTTTTCCTTAAACTACTGTAGACATACCCAATTCCTGCAACTGTTCTTCATATATTTTAGCCTTCAGTTCCCTAAATCCGAACTTAGTCTTTTCTTGGCTGTTCCTTGCCAAAAATTTTTTTCTTTCATATCACAAAAGCATCAACACTTCCTTCTGTGTTTCAGGTTTAAATTGCAGATAAACATCCTCCTTCATAATTAGGCCATTGATACAGAACTTTTTTTCATTGGAGCAGACATCAACCATATTTTTATGCCTCCCACCCAAAGATATACATACGTCAAAATCTCACAGGATTTCTAAAATTCCTTCCTGAGGTAATTGTGTTCTTGTGTCTTTGCTTTAAATCTCATGAACCCACTAAAATCTGGAGAGATTTCAGTAACTTTTAACATTAAAAACATTATTTAATTTGGGGGCTCTACAAACTTCATCTCAAAAGCTATAATTGTCTTGTGGCCAATTCCTCATCCGGTTCTTTACTAAAGCCAGTACTCTAAAAAAAATAAAAAATACAGAGATATTTGACTGGAATCTAAGAATGTACTGTAAAAGACGGTATTTTTTTCCTCGCCTGAAAGTGTATTCCTTAACATACTGCCATTTTGTTTGATTTTTCACTATTATGTGCAACGTGTGGGTGAGATTGAGCAATTAGAGAAGAGCTTCATCGAATATGGAGAAATGAGAATTCAGAAAGATAAGTAGAGTTCAGTTCACATACTAATTTAACAATGTGAAATCAGGAAAACTGCTTTTCCTTTCATCTCAGCTCTTCACCTTATGCCATCGCAGAGAAAAAGGTACTTAGTTATTATGATTATATGCTGCTGCCTCATGGTCAGAAGAATAGAGAACGGAATATCTTTTGTCAAAAAATACTAAACAAGAAGTGGCTATCAGAGGTGTGGAAGAGATGCTATCCCAGAATGCTTCTACTATAGGATACTTAGCAGTTGGAGGACAAGTAGTCCCACTTTGCAATTATAACAATTAGGACAGGTAACTCCGGCACTAAGCAACACAGTTGTTAAATGAAACGTTGTTGATGCTCGTGATGGACTTGTGACATCAGTTCTGGCTTGGCCATTAAGCAAGTCATTACAGTCGTTAAGAGAGACAACATGTGACCATGATTGCAATATTAATGCTGGCTTCGCCATTGACTCTGCTTTGTCAGAAGTCAGCCGTGAAACACGCATATGGTGATGATGTGAACACAAGATGCCACAATTGTCATAAATAGAAGGACTGGTAAAGTTAATTTTTCGATGTCATCATAACTTCAAACAGCCACTAAAGGAGAGAAGCAACCTGGAACTAAGGAGAAACTTCCTGACAGTTAGAACAATTAACCAGTGGAACAACCTGCCTCCAGAAGCGGTGAATGCTCCAACACTGGAAGTTTTTAAGAAGAGACTGGACAGCCGTTTGTCTGAAATGGTATAGGGTTTCCTGCCTGAGCAGGGGGTTGGACTCAACTACCTCCAAGGTCCCTTCCAACATTATTATTATTAATAATAATATTAATAATAATAATAATAAGACAGCCATGAAGTAAGATCTACCAACTGGCCAGATGCAACAAGGCGTTACTTATAACTGAATGTCAGTGTTTAACTATTACAAAATGGAAGAAAATCTCCTCACACTTTTTTGCAAGAATGTGTGCTCTCAGTTGGTGTGTTTTTGCACTGAGATTATCCATGGACCTTCCTTCTGAGAGCATCCCCCACTGTTAGTGACCTGGGAACAACTAGCTGCCTTGTCTGTTGATATTGCACGCAGAATCCAGAAAGTGCACAATTATATTGCACAGTTATTTTCCTTCCTATTGTCGCCAACTGGAGGGAAAGGAAAAAAAGGAGCCACGGAAAAAGGGTTAAAAAAACAACAACACCTCACCACCTGCCAGGGAACAAGCAGGTTGGACTTACAAATTGTGGTCGTCTATTATGGAAGCTACCCCAACGACATCCTATTTGTCTATTTCACCATACAACGATACAGATTTTTACTGCAACATTTCCTCCCTGTGATAAACATGTCAAAATATCAATTACAAAAAAAAAGACCAGATTAACTAATTCTGCCAATCGGCCAGCTTGATGGATGAGGTTGCTTAGAAGAAAGTGAGATTTCAAACAATTGTCCTGTGACGATTTATTAGCACGTAAAACATGGGGACTGTATGAAGATCTCCAAGCATTCATTCCTTCATGCATGCATGCAGTTTGTCCACCACCTCAATCCTAGTGCGATCTCAAGAGGCTTACGTCATTCATGGACCACTTTTACGAGACCTGAGCTATCTCATCGTACCTACCTGTCCCATCTTCCAAGTGTCCAAAATTACAGATCTGGGTTATGTGGTGGATCCACACGTGCATTTCCTCTTCCGATTTGGCCACCAGGTAGAAAGTGCGGTAGGTTGTTTTCACAACAAAAACAAAGTTGTTCTGGAACTCCTTCTTGATCAAGTTGGACCCCGAGTGTTTCACCACTTCACACTCGTTCAGATCTATCACCCGGATAGGCTTCTTGGAATGACTGTTCCGATAATATTCCAGCACATCCGGGTTGCCGCTCATTCGGCCTTGACGTAACACGAACCAGCGTTTCCGCCAAGCCTGAGGAAATATGGAGAAAAAAAAATAAAGATATAGCCATAGCCCTGACCATATCATTTCTCTATCTCTGAGCTATTCCAGAATCTAGCCAGGCAGACAGTCATCAACGTTAAGTTTGTTTAGTGACCGTTCCAAGCTACAGCATCACTGAAAAAAAGTGACTTGTGACTGTTTTTCACACGGCCATTGCAGCATTCCCCATGGTCACGTGATCAAAATTCAGATGCTTAGCAACTGACTCATATTTAGGACAGTTCAAGTGTTCTGGGGTCGTGTGATCACCTTTTGCGACTTTCAGACAAGCAGAGGAAAAGAGGAAGCCAGATTCATTTAACAACCCAGTTACCAATTTAACTACAATTTGGGGAAGCTGTGGCTGCTTCAGTGCAGTTACATGACCTTCACTTTCAAAGCTCCATGACAGTTTCCCAGCCACTCTTGCAATCCCTACTTTCCTCCTTCATCCAGCAGCAGCCACTGACCTGGAGGAAGGGAAGGGGACAGGAGGGAAGGGATATTCCCGATGCTTCTTGCCCGATTCCCACAAGGAAACTCAATGGGAAAACCAGCTGGAAGTCAGAAGTCACTGCTGCTTCCACTGCTTTTTTTGCCTATCCTTGGTCATTCTGTTTCTCTGTTTAGGTAAGGAAGTATCTCTGAAACAATGAACCAATAGGGGACAGGCTGTCTAATCTCTAATAAAGTTCAACTGCTTATGCGACAGAGAGTGGACAGTTAAGGACATTAAGAATAACACTGGGAGCTCCACTTAACTAATTTAAATTTAAAATAACTGAATTACAATTGAGACAAGAGTTGTATGGTTGCCCAGGCCTCATCCCCTTTTTGGAGAGTAGCTCAGATCATTAAATGCCAAGCATATCCTCAACGGCGGAAAAGGGCTGTGTGTAGTATGTGTTACCCAAGGTGCTTAACTAGAAAGTCCTGAACCACAGGACTTTCAACAAACAACCCATCTGTGTCTTTATTTACATATTTATTCCCATATTTATTGTCTGCACTTAGCAATCTCTCTCAACCTCTTCCCTCTGAAATAACAAGACGCCCACTGAAAACACTGCATCATCAGTCAGAGAAATAATTTGCCAACTGTAATAAAAGAAGAGTGGAAAGAGAGAAAAGGAAAATGGGGGATTCAGCATCCAACAATTTCTGAGTAAAATGCACAATGAACACTTCAAAGAATCCAGAAGTTTGAGTAGGCCACTAAGTCTTAAGGCAGAGGAAAGATAAATTGATTAGGATGCTGAGAATCTGGGAAGAGCATCCTATAATGGGGTTCCACAACTAAGAAGATCCTCAACATGTCCTTAACTACCACCTTGGGGAGAAAGAGAGAATTCTAAGACTTGGATCCCAGAACACCTTGGGGAAGGCAGATCTAATGCAGGAAGTTTCTGCTGAGCCTTTGGAATTATTTAAAAAAAAAAAAAAAACCACAAGCACAAAGCCAAAAGTCATGGAATTCAGGTTTCGAGGTTGTTTATCCTCCCACCTCTGTCATTCAAGGCTTATGCCAAATATTTGGCATAAAAATTAGGAGCAAGAAACGTAAGGTAAGGTAAGGCCACACTTGGAATCATGCATCCAGTTTTGGTCACCACAATATAAAAAAGATGTTGAGACTCTAGAAAGAGTAGAGAGAAGAGCAACAAGGATGATTAGGGGACTGGAAGCTAAAACATATAAGGAACGGGTGCTGGAATTGGTATGTCTATTTAATGAAGAGAAGGATGAGGGGGGACATGATAGCAGTGTTCTAATATCTCAGGGGTTGCCCCAAAGAACAGGGAGTCAAACTATTCTCCAAGGCGCCTGAAGGAAGGAGGACAAGCAATGGATGGAAACTAATCAAGGAGAGAAGCAACCTAGAACTAAGAAAAAAATTAGTTAGAATAATTAACCAGTGGAACAACCTGCCTCCAGAAGCTGTGAATGCTCCAACACTGGAAGTTTTTAAGAAGAGACTGGACAGCCATTTGTCCGAAATGGTATAGGGTTTCGTGCCTGAGCAGGGGGTTGGACTAGAAGACCTCCAAGGTCCCTTCCAACTCTGTTATTCTATTCTGTTCTAAACAGTTATTACATTTCTTCAATGCTTTCCCAGAGGGCACAATGACCGAGTGGTTAAAAATGCTCAGCTTGTCAGCTGGAGAGCTGGCAGCTCAGGTTTGAGAACCGAGTGTCATCCAACGGTTGAGCTCCCGTTCCTTGCCCCAGCTCCTGCCCACCTAACGGTCTGAAAGCATGCAAATGAGAGTAGATTAATTGGTTCCATTTTGGTGGGAAAGTAACAGAGTTCTGTGCATCTTTGGCATATAGACATGCTGGCCACATGACCACGGAAGATGTCTTTGGACAATGCTGACTCCTTGGCCAAAAAACAGAGATGAGCCCTGTGCCCTAGAGTCGGACATGACCTGACAGAGAAACCTTTACTCAATGCTTTCCCAGGAATCCAGCTCAGAAGAAATAGAATTTACGTGACCCACACAGCAGATCCAGTTTTCTTGTTCCCGTCAACGAGTCTCTTAAGCTGGGGGGGGGGGTTTAAGTGTCACCAAGGTTGCCAAAATAGAGGCTTCCAGATCCCCCAGAAGTTCTCTCCATCACGTCAGCCGTGTCTTTCAACTCCAAGACCCTTCTCAAAAGATCAATAAAGCCTCTTAACGTTTCCTCAAGGTCTTCTGAGACCTCAGGAGCTACTGTCCAACCTTCTAAGACTTTACATAAGACTACCAATGCCTTTCACAATTTCAGTGAAATCTTGTGAAATGTTGGCATTCTTGCACAAGATTTCGAAGGATCACTAAAATCTTCAACATCCCAGCAAGGTTTTAAGGGGTAAGGGAAACCACCATGTAACTGGGTACTTGATGGTGCCTGTTCTTCTACGCACAGAGATGGTTTTGTTATTAAGACTTTTGCCTGCTAACCCTCATCCAAAATACAAAGCCAAAGTGGAACAGGTGAACATGTTTTAAGTTCCTCCCTCCTGTGGTTCTTCTTCCCTAAACATCTGCAGGACTTCAGCTGTATCTGACTGGACTTGGCAAGCCAAAATCCATTGGACAGGGTGATAAGAATTTTAGTCCTTAGTTGTTCTTGTCACTGTCAAAGCGAACTAAACCGAGCGGGAAGACAAAAAGCAATGGATGGAAACTGAACAAAGAGAGAAACAACCTAGAACTAACTTCCAATCCGCACCATCTAGTCCAGTGGTTCTCAACCTGTGGGTTGGGACCCCATTTGGGGTAGAACGACCATTTCACGGGGGTCGCCAAACAAGGCTGTCCGCCATTTTTTCCCCCTTTTCTTTGGCCACGCCCCTGGCACCCGGTAATGTATAAGTGGTTGGGGGCCACCACAAATGGGGAACTGTATTATGGGGTCGCGGCATTAGAAAGGTTGAGAACCACTGATCTAGTCAGAGCTGAAGAAGCTTCTTGGATGAGAAGAAAAACGTCTCCAAAAGAAACCCAAGAAAGTCCACTTGCCTCCTGAAAAAAGCATCTTTGGGACAACCATGACCTGGATGATGGACAACCTCCACAGACATAAACCTAGAACTAAGGAGAAAGTTCCTGGCAATAAGAACCATCAACCAGTGGAACAGCTTGCCTTCAGAAGTTGTGGGTGCTCCAACACTGGAGACTTTTAGGAAGGGACTGGACAACCGTTTGTCTGAAATGGCATAGGGCAGTGATGGCGAACCTTTGAGAGGCCGAGTGCCCAAACTGCAACCCAAAACCCACTTATTTATCGCCGGGTGCCAGGTGGGCATGGCCCACTGGGTGGGCGTGGCTGTGGTGGTCATGGCAGATAGGGTGGGTGTGGCCAAGGTGGGCGTGGTCACCTCGATGTTGCTCATGGGGAGGGGCGCCTCTGGGGGCCGGGCAGGGTTGGGGGAGATCTAGGGGGTCTCTGGCAGGTGGGGTGGTGGGCAGGAGGCTCGTCCTGTGGGGCGAGGCGAGGCAAGGCGGGGGTGCCATTGTCACAGGGCAAGGTGAGACGGGCCGGGGCAGCTGCTGCCTGACACCATGAGCCCCCACACACAGAGGCCAGCGAGCGCATGGGTGCTGGGATGCATCTGGCCATGTGGGACCTCAGCGAGTTAGCAGGCGGCTGGTTGAAGAGGGACAGTTGCCATCACCGGGGCATGGCATGTGTGCCCACAGAGAGGGCTCTGAGTGCTGCCTCTGGCACGCGTGCCATAGGTTCGCCACCACTGGCATAGGGTGTCCTACTTGAACAGAGGGAGTTGGACTAGAAGACCTCCAAGGTCCCTTCCAGCTCTCTTATTTGGCATTCTGTAAACAGAAAGCAGTTTGTGCTTTCTCGAGCTGGCTGGGAGAAGGCTCAGAGCAACTATTTCTGGAAAGGTGTGCCTAATGCTTTGGTGGCTTTGATGCTTATCTCTGTTGTGCGTTTTCTGACCCTTGTTTTTTGTTAACCTAACAGCAGCCTTCCAAGAATGATTTCAGCCAAGCCATACACAGAGCCAGCGTGACTCCATATTAATTTGCACTGACCCTTGGCAAATAGTTATAAAAACCCCACACTTGTTAAAGGAAGGATTTTAGAGTGAAACTTGCTATCTCACTGTTTGTTTGCCATCTCTATGTTTTTGCCTGCTTATCTGCGCCGCCTGTCAGCCTCCAATAACCTGAACAATTGCATTTACAAATTCTAATGCTAAACCTGGATCGGTTTTAGGATAGGCTGCCGAGCAGGTTAGAGTCTCTCTTGAAAGCAAAACAACAATGCCTTGTTTTGCAAAACTTACTTGATGGATTCTTGTCCTTTTTCCTCCCCCCCCCAAAAAAAACCCCTAGCAAGCATGTAAGGACAAAATAGAACAAAAACCAGTCACCAGTTTGGGTTTGTGGCTTAATGTAACTATAAGCTATGATTAAAAGAAGCCAATGAAAAACCACTTAGCATCAATCCACGATTAAAGTAATTGAAGGCAGGTGAAG